TCTCGGAAAGGAGGATAATGGCGTTTTATCAGTGCCTGGCCCAGTTTCGCAAGGGAAATTTGGTATCGTTCAGGACCTGTCTTCGCCCTTTGGGCATGATGGCTTCGTCGCTGTTCGCGGTCCCGCTAGGTTTGCTGAAAATGAGAGACTTCCAGCGATGGGTGGCAGTGAGATGGATAGCAGTCTGTGTCCTAGTCGGCACCTTGCGCGCAGAGTGAGAATACATGCGGAGTGCGTGATGGCTCTTCATCAGTGGAGAGATCCCTGTTTATTCCAGACAGGGATTCCCATGGGGGGCATGTCTCTGAGAAAAGTAGTGACAACGGAATCATCTCTGTCGGGCTGAGGGGCTGTTTTTCAGGGCAGATCGTTAAACGGTCGCTGGACGCCCCAGCTTCGCAAACTTCACATAAATATGTTGGAGTTGATGGCAGTCTTTCTGGCCCTGAAACATTTTCTCCCATTCTTGGAAGGGTTTCATGTTCTGGTCAGGACAGACAACACGACGGTGGTGGCATATATCAATCGCCAAGGGGGAACGCATTCGTTACAATTGCACAATCTAGCGCGCAAACTGATTGTCTGGGGCGCGGCGCACTTCAGCTCGCTGCGCGCGATGCTCAGTACCAGGAGTCCTGAATGTAGGGGCGGATCTCCTGTCAAGGGGCAACCCGTTATACGGAGAATGGGTGCTCCACCCGCAGGTGGTGGATCAGATTTGGGGGATGTACGGCAAGGCTGCTGTAGATCTCTTCGCCTCGAAGGCAAACGCAAAGTGTCCGCTGTATTTCTCTCTCAGGGACGAAAATGTGCCTTTGGGAGTAGATGCGCTGGCGCACCCGTGGCCGAACGTGTTGCTTTACACATTCCCTCCGCTGAGTCTAATTTCTCCCACCCTGGAAAGAGTAAGAGAAAACCGATTATCTCTCCTTCTGATAGCCCCTCGTTGGCCGGGGAGGCTGTGGCTGTCAGAGATTGTCCAGCTACTTCAGGGAGAGCCCTGGCCGCTCCCATTGCGCCGGGACCTGCTGTCGCAAGCGGGGGGGGGGGCAGATATTTCACCCACACCCGGAACGAGTCGATCTTTGGGTCTGGCCGTGAAGGGTTAAATTTATATGCACTGGGGCTTCCGCAGGAGGTTATAAACACTATCCAGAGCGCTAGAGCTCCATCAACGCGCTCACTGTATGGCCTTAAATGGCATGTGTTTGAGGACTGGTGTACTCGTAAAGGAGATATTCCTTTTCAGTGCGCGGTGAGCGATGTACTTTGCTTTTTACAAAGCTTAATGAAAAATGGGAGAGTGTTTTCTACTATTAAAGTTTACCTGGCTGCTATTTCGGCATGTCATGTAGGCTTCGAGGGAGTCTCAGTTAAACGACACCCTCTTATATGCCGTTTTATGAAGGGGGTGAAGCGTTTGACACCAGTATCTAAGCATCTGGTCTAGGGTTATGCCAGTATCAAATTCTCATGTTGCGATTAATTGCTAATGCTTTTATCACGGTATACGGTATTATCACGGTATTGAAAGTTAGTGGAAAAAAAAAAAGTGCTATCATAATACAGTATAACAGGTTTAATAACTTTTTTCTTATAACAAAAATAACTGAACATTTATATGCAAAAAAGCAATACAGAAAAAATTATAAAGTTAAAAGTTTTACACAGATTAAAGTGCAAAAGAACTATAAAGACCAATAGGTATCACTTTACAATAAGACCATTACCGAATACCGGCACAAGTCTAATCTGGTCCTGTCATGGAACTTGTCCATGGTTCTGAATGCTTTAACTCGGGCTCCATATGAACCTCTGGAGAGTGTTGATAGTAAGCTCGTATCTCTGAAAACGGTCTTACTACTTGCTTTAGTCTCAGCTAAGCGAGTGTGTGAGTTACATGCTTTGTCGGTTCATCGGGAATGTCTGGATTTAATCCGGATGACAGCAAGGTTACGTTGATGTCTAATAGGCTTGCCGCAATAGACGGTGCTGACGGCGATACCGGTGTTAAGCTGTAACACCGGTTACGTCACTTGCCCACCGCGTCACCGAACCCCACCGTTGTTTTGATTTTTTTATAGTAATAAAAATCATTTAGTTCAGTAAAAGAACAGACACTACAATTAAAAACTGAACGCGGCTGCTCAATGCAG